ACTCAAGATCAGATGGCCGGTCAGAAAAGATCAGTAACAGGGAAGGATCTCTGGGAGCGAACCAACTTGGAACCGACTGTGCAACAAATAAGCAGGAAGAAATGGAGGTGGATTGGCCATACTCTGAGGAAACCATCAAGTGACATCACTAGACAAGCCCTCAAGTGGCACCCAAAAAATGAAGCGGCAAGCTGGTCGTCCAAGGATAACTTGGAGGAGGTCATGTGAAGAGGAGATGAAAGCGTCTGGGGCAGACTTGGAGAGGGGTGGAAACGTTGGCAGGAAACCGAAGGCAATGGAGACGCGCGGCTGAAGCCCTATGTTCCTCTATGAATTAAAGGAAATAATATACGACTTCATGGTCTGATCACCCGTAACCTCTTACCAACCAGCCAAACTCAGTGTCGGTTAGCATTGCTTGACTGACTGCTCTCAACATAGAACTTTGCACAGATGTCCAGTAGTTCGAGTTCCCACTCTCCATCCATGTACCACACAAAGAAAGAGCAAAGAATAAAGATTCAAAACACAGATAATTAACAGAAGTATGAATGAGGTAGAAAGAAAAATAATATCGAAGAACAATAGAGTCTCATTGGACATGATAAATGACAAAGAGTGGATACATCTGCACCAGCTATTGAGAACAAATATTTCGAGCCATATCACCAATTTTCTCCAGGCTACATTGGTTTTTACCAGCGCGAGGACCCCCACCTGTCAGGCAGTCTACACCTCCCTGTGTGACTGACGTAAACTAACTGTTGTGGATTTCATTTACTGATGAGGCCATGCCCGACCGAAAGCTGCTACCTTGACGTGGTGGTCGGGCTTGAACACCGCAATGACCTAATCAAGCTATACTGGCTGAGACTTATGTCTCTTGAGGTTCTACCATGCCAGGCAGGTTGTTTGGATAGCGGTTAAACAAAAAGCAGCTACCCATCCAATACCATGATCCAAACAAATTCACAAAATTTCATGCCGGATCGGCCGTGGCCCGGATTAACAACGACCGCGCTTCCTGCTGCCGTGTCACAGGGCGGGAGTGATAAGTATGCTACTGAGGCACACCAAACAAAAAGAACGAACAAAAACAGGCCGCGTGTGACCGGCCTCAAGCAGTTGTCCCCTGGGCTCTGCGGTCACGCAACCAACTTCCACGGTGTGGGCAGCCGGGAAGTAACAATCGCCCTCACAATCCGAAATGCACACAAAACCTCTCTAATCCTCACTTATCTTTGTCTTCATCTTCATTACCTTGCCTTCCTCCCACTGATGCAACTCCTCTACTTGATGGCTCCTCACTCCCTCTTCACTCTGTGTCCACTAAAAACGACGAAAGCCAAAAAACCACCACGGATAGTCTCCTAAAGCCACGCCACCAATTTCATATAGGAGCATTTAATGTTAGGACACTTTGCCAAATAGGACAACAAGCATCACTAGCTAAGACCCTGGCATCGAGCCATTGATGTATGTTGTGTTTCAGAAACACGCATACAAGACCCAAGTGTGGTTATTCACCTAACCCCACCTGGCCAACAGGATGAATCTTCAAAATTCACCTTGAGGGTGTCAGGAGATGCCACAGCTAGTTCACGAGGATTAGCTGGCGTAGGGATAGCTTGAGTACTAGGGCAGAAAAGACATTGCTTGACTGGATCCCAGTAGATAGCCGAATGTGTGCTGTCCGTCTGAACGGATCAGTAAGAAGGAGAAAGGACTGCACTACTCGCCGATGCCTTTTCGTAATCTCCGCCTACGCCCCCACTGACTGCAGTTCGGATGAAACGAAGGATGAGTTCTACCAAAAGCTGTCTAGTTTGGTGAGAAAGGCTAAACGCTCAGATATAGTCGTTCTAGCTGGTGACTTTAACGCTCAAGTAGGGAAATTGTGTCAATCTGAGAAGGATGTCGGTGGCACCTATGGAGTTCCGTGCCAGCGAACCGACAACGGTGACCGTCTCCTACAGTTCTGTTCAGATAATCATTTGTTTCTTGTAAGCACTAACTTTAAACACAAGGAGAGACACTGTTTAACCTGGCGACCCCCATCATCAAACCAACGCTGGACACAAATAGACCACATAGCAATAAGCTATCGTTGGCGTGGGTCGGTAGGAGATTGTCGCTCCTTCTGGAACACGTGTGTAGATACCGATCACGCACTGGTCCGGGCTCGTGTGTGCTTACGACTGAACGGACGTAGGAAACAGCTGGCGGTAAAACCATCACGTCCCCAGCTCGATCAGGAAACTAAATCCCTATTTGAGGAAGAACTAGCTAAACGCATATCTGAATTCGACAGCTGTGCTCACCCTGGAGAAGCCTGGAAGAATATTCAGTCAGCTATAGATACAGCTGTAAAAGCTGTGAATAAGGCAAATCCAAAGGTGAGTAAAAACCACTGGATTTCGACTGCCTCATCCGAACTGATAGATGCTAGAAGACTTATTCCGGCGAGCTCCGAATTCAATGAGGAGCGAAAGCTGCACAAAAGGAAACTTACTAAAAGTCTCCGCAAGGACCGTGAACAGTGGTGGGTGACAAAGGCGAAAGAGATGGAAAAAGCATCGGCGATAGGCAACTCTTTAGACTCATCAGAAACGGGGGGAGAAGGCAATTCATAAGTGAGACTATTTCTGAGAAAAATGGCTCCTTAATTAGCTCTCAGGATAGACGCCTTGAACGCTGGAAAGAACACTTTGAGGAACAATTTAACTTGCCTACAGCCACACTGAACCTCCCCGCATCCACCACACCCGAATGGGATATAGACACTGGTCCGCCGTCTGTAGTGAGGTCACAAAAGCTATCAGTAATTTGAAACGAGGCAAAGCGGCAGGACCCGACGGAATTATTCCGGAGGTGTTTAAATATGGGGGTGACATACTAGTTTGTAGATTAACTGAGGTACTAGGCAAAGTCTGGGAATCAGAGACAGTACCATCAGACTGGGGTAAGTCACTTATTATACCGATATTCAAGAAGGGAAACAAGTCCTCGTGTGATAATCATAGGGGGATCAGCCTAACGAACATAGTCTCTAAAATCCTAGGCTCAGTAATCATGCATAGACTAAGCAGAACTCGGGAGGAACAGACAAGGGAAAATCAAGCAGGCTTTAGACCAGGTAGAGGGTGCATAGATCATATCTTCACTCTTCGACAGATTCTAGAACATAGACACACTTTTCGGCGTCCAACAATTGTCATATTTCTTGACTTGAAGGCGGCCTTCGACTCCGTGGATCGAAAGGTACTATGGCAATGTCTGACTGTGAAGGGAGTGCCAAGAAAGTACATTGCACTAATCAAGGCACTCTATTCAAACTCACGTAGTCGTGTAAGGGCTTATGGGGAATTGTCATCTGAATTGGTAACAACCAGTGGTGTCCGACAGGGATGTCCACTTTCCCCATTTCTGTTTAACTTCATCATAGATATGCTAATGGAAGTATCCTTAACTGAACGTAATGACTTAGGAATCGACTTGTTACCAGGGAATAGTCTTATGGACTTAGAATATGCAGATGACATAGTCCTGTTAGGGGAGGATGCTGACAAAATGCAGTCTTCTGAACACCTTGAGCAACAATCTTCATCATGAATAATAGTAAGCTATGACAAATAAGGTACATACTACACTAGATACCGATGGGTGCGACCAAGGCTTTGCTAACAAACACAGAGTCTTCTGAACACCTTGAGCAGCAATCTTCGTATGTTTGGCATGCGACTCGCCCCTGAAAAATGTAAGATGCTGCTACAGGACTGAACTACGTCAACTCCTAACTTAGTGATAGGGAGTGAAGTGATAGAACATAATGACCACTTCACCTATTTGGGAAGTTGTATCAGCACCAACGGACTGATTGGCGATGAAATCTCAGCACGGATCCAAAGAGCTCCAGCTGCTTTCGCTGACTTACACCATCTCTGGCGTAGGCGTGACATCCGGCTATCAACCAAGGGACGTGTGTACTGCTCACCAGTTCGCTTCGTCCTTCTCTATGGCTCTGAAACATGGCCAATACGCGTTGAAGACATGAAAAGAGTGACTGCTTTTGATCATAGGTCTCTTTCTAACGTTAGGTGGTTTAATAAGGTAAGTAATGTTGACGTTAGGCGTAGTGTTGGGCAAAGAGGGAAAATCAATCGACGAGGCTATAAAGTTACATAGATTGAGATGGATAGGTTACGTGCTGCGCATGCCTAATCATTGCCTCCCCCGACGGCCATTATTAGCTGATATAGGTGCAGGTTGGAAAAGAGTAAGTGGTGGCCAAACAATGAAATCCTTGACAGTTAAACTGAGTAAGGTAGGGAGAGGCAGACTTCCGGGTTGGGACCCTCGGGACTCTAGGAATCAATGGCTGGAGATAATAGGTGACATGGCTCAAAATCGTTGTCAATGGCCAGCGCAGATGTATTCAGTCTCTGTAATCTTTTATATTCCTTTCTACCATTATCCATTCTGTTTCACTCTTATACTTGTCAGACTGTATTGATTCTCTTAACTCATCTTCTTGTCTACCTCTGTGTGCTATTTGGAACGTGGCAACTCGAACTGGTGCACTTCGATGCCAAGTTCTATGTTGAATCCAGACAGACAGATGAGGCCATGTTTTGTTTTGACCACCATTAGCAGCTCTTTTTCAACCTGACCAATCCTATGTGGGTCGAGGAAGAAGATGGTTATGCTGGACATGTGTAAAACATCTCGTGACCATCTCAATCGGCTAGCACTTGCTTAACAAGGGAAAGGCAATGCTTTAGAATGTACAACACATATCCTAAAAACTTCACAACCTTATCGATTGATCTCCCGTCAATATTACTCATCATAATATATATGCTACTGAACGCGGGATTGAGGAGGCGAGCGGGTGAACAGCGCTATCCTCTGTGATAGCTGTCTCAACAGCTAGACACTCTCTCTTTCAGACAAAAAAAAGAAAAGCTGTCATAACAAAACCAAAACAAATACATGGAATTCGTTAGAGACACGTGATCAGATTATTATTATTATTATTAACATTGTCATCATCAACATTATTATCGTTAGGTCTAGTAAATAAATTTTCTTACACTTCATTAAAACAACAATAAATATACCACAAGTAATCATTCATATTTGCATAAAAATTTTATACACATTGTAAAAGAATAATGAGAGGAACAGATAAGATGGATGGATATAAAGACGAAAAACAACAAAAAACAGAACAAGGAGAGAAGCAAAAGAAGAGAAAGACACTTAAATGTTCGTGTGTGTTGTTGTGTTTCTCACTTATACAAAAGAAAAGTTAATTCATTAATTAGATGAAAACATAATTGGCCAAGAGAAAAAGAAAAGAAACAACAACAACAATAACAACAGCAACAACAAGCAATAATAGAACACAATTGAATTGACAAGATTTAGAGGAGATGCGACGAAACGAAAAAAAAAGAAACAGAACTGTCGTGGTGATGATGATGACACTTATATCCCAAATAGTCTATCATCCCACTATTTAATTACACTAAGGATTATCGCAAGAGAATATAGAGAGAAAAAAGAAAACAACCCTCTCTCATTAGGGGAGGGATTCGACTGAAGAACGAACAAGGAAAGAAATAGTCGAGGAGGGAGAGGAGGAGGCCGCGGCGACAACGACGACGGAGGAGAGATGGTCAAACAGAAAAATAAAAAGACAGAATCTTACCTTTCTTATTCAACTAATAATAATAATAACAGTAGCAATTAATATACATGGCAGCGGAAACTATGATTGTTTTTGGGCTTATACATTATATATGCATATTCCAAAGCAAAGAATTGAAGAAACGAGTATATTTTGCATAGATCATCATTGGAAGACTGAAGAATACACACACACACACACAAACTGGGAGAGAAAGGAACGTAAGGGGGTTTTCTTTTGTGAAATGCTTTGAGAAATAATAATACAAAACTCCGTGATATACACACCATATATATATATATATATATATATATATATCATCTTTCATCAGATCTATTTGTAGGATTACTTGTTGTATTAGTAGTAAAAGTAGTAGTAGTAGTAGTAGGAGGAGGAGTGGAAAGAGAATGAGGAGAATTAGTATTAGTGGCTGGTGGAGGTGGTGTAGCAAAAGAAGAATCCCTGCGTTTAGCACAAACAAATACATTTGGTGTTTGTGAGATTGCACTGGATCGGATAACAAAATAACGATTTGTAGTGGCAGTAGCAGTGGCAGTGCCGGTGATTGTTGTCGTCGGCATCGATAAGGAGGATGTCGTGGAAGAAGAAAAAGAAGAAGACATCGACACTGAAGACAGACTAGTATCATTTGTAGGAATTTGTTGAATACAACTAACAACTGGATGTGCATAGAACATTCTTGTCGGTTGTGTAGTAGTAGTAGTAGTAGTAGTAGACGTAGGTGGATTAGTAGTGCTTAACTGGATAGGACGTTGTACATTCAAATAATTATTATTATTACTACTACTATTACTATAATTAATAGGTCTAGAAATGGAATGCAAAGAATTCATTGAAACATTAGATGATGATGATGACGATGGCAGTGTTGTTGAATATGTCTGCAGTACACTTGGTGGTGTATTGTAAACTCTATTGATTAGATTATCATCAACAGTGGTACTAGAAGAAGACGGAGAAGTATACTCTGATAGTTGATTAGGAATTTTCGCGCCAGTATGAATCGATGCTGACCATGAACCACTATTAGAATAATGAGGTGGTGGTAAACCAACATATGCTGCTGAATAAGGTTCATTTGATGATGATGATGATAAATGGACTTGTTGAGAATTGAAAGAATTCAACTGATCACTTTTTTCTTGAGTTTCATAAAGAGACGAAGACGACGACGATGAGGAGGAGGAGGACGACGACGACGACATCGAAGACGCCGATGAAGACGAAGAGGATACCGACGACGACGATGACGCCGACGAGGAAGAGGTAGCGGAGGAGGAGAGCGGTGAAGACGCTGACGAAGATATCTTAGAAATAAATACATCTGAAGAATACGATGATACTATCTTAGGCTTATGCATAACACCAGTAGTAGTAGTAGTAGCAGCATTGGATTTTATTGGCACTATATAATCAGAAGTAGACGATCCAGCCTTCAAAGTACTGCCACCCAATAGTCCAGGAATTTGTTGAATTTGATTCGGTGGTTGTTGTTGCTGTTGAAGTTTGTGTGGAAAACGTACATGTAACAAATTCGTAGGAGTTGGACCTACAATATAAAAATATCAGATATTTAAAGCTAATTCATCTCGCGTCCTATGATGATATTGGACAAATCGTAAAATTAAACACAGGTATGTGTAGTGTTAAAAGTTTAACCACGAGCTTATATCCGTGAGAGAACCAGGGGTAAGTACTGGGCTTCTGTCTCCTCCTAGTCTGGGACCCGTCAGCTGTAAGCACCGATTATAAGACGAGCCCGTAAACTATTCAACCACTGGTAACCAATGAATTCCAACTTCTGGCGATTCGCGACATACACACAGGAGTCAAGAACAGCCAATATCATCACGAAGTAACTGTTCTCCTGTCCAACTTCGTAGATCTCTCTAGTTACGACCACCACTCGCTAAAAACCCTGAGTGAATTTCTGGACAGAACCAGTCAAGTAATAGTTTGTGGGGGATTTGATTGGTTACTGATGATGTTAATTCGTGATCAAACCTGAAACGAACCAGTGAAATCCCTGAACACCAATAATTGGAGAATTACTACTAGTAGGCAATCTGTGAGAGTATATACAAAATCCCCATTGGAGGGATTATTGCAGACGACACTGTTTTATGATAGAATATATATGAAACTGAGTAATGTAAGTGTGTAGTGTAAGAAGAGAGTTATGATAAACAAACTAGGCACAAGCTACGCCCAATAACCATTTCGTATGCGTATGGAAAAACAAAAACTCCAGAACAAAATAAACCTGTACATTCACCTGATACTCAGAATGTCAAAATAGTGTCATGTTCTTGAATTTATAAATAGTATCACCTAGACAAGATCTATTCCACCGTAGACAACAAGGATGACGACTTGTCAACGCCAATCAAGGATTAGGAAAGCATGACAGGTACTCATCACTCTGAAGTCTGTCTGGATTCAACATAGAACTTGGCACCGAAGTGCACCAGTTCCATTTGTCACGTTCCAAATAGCACACAGAGGTAGACAAGAAGATGATGAGTGAAGAGAATCAATAGAGTTTGACAAGTATAAGAGTGAAACAGAATGGATAATGGTAGAAAGGAATATGAAAGATTACAGAAACTGAATACATCTGCGCTGGCCATTGACAACGATTTTGAGCCATGTCACCTATTATCTCCAGCCATTGATTCCTAGAGTCCCGAGGGTCCCAACCCGGAAGTCTGCATCTCCCTACCTGACTCAGTTTAACTGTCAAGGATTTCACGGATTGATGAGGCCATGTTTTTGTTTGGCCACCATGTGGAGATCTACACCAGTGAGCACAAAGAGTAATATCTGAGATCTGTTTAAAACCTAACGGCAGTCAAATCACTGCTTCTAGATGGTTCAGCACAGATATGACGTGTGAATTACCCAAACCACTTTCCCACAGGTTACTTACTGCAGACCTTTAGCGACATCTGAGCCCTTTCTTTGATACCTACGCCGAAGATCAGATGGCTGGCCAGAAAAAAGAAGCAGGCAGTGAAACAAACAAGCACATCTTAGTCAGAGAATATGCTTATGGATCAGATGCACGGACAGTGAGGACAGTGAATACCACACAGTTTCAGCTAGCGCCACTAAGATAATACATGGGGGTAAAAACAAACCATATCTCAGACAAAAGGCTACATAAATTAGCCTAAAATCACCTAATGTATTGAGATGCCTCCTTAACTCAACGTCAACCAGATTACAAATTCAGAACAAGGATTATAAATAGTTAGATATCTGGAAGCGTCGGTGGCACAACGGTTAGGACATACGCCGATCATGCACATGGTCCCGGGTTCGATCCCCGACCGGCGAGGCACTTCTTTACCTCGCTAAGCCAGAAATAATGCTGGTAGAGAGGAAAGGTTGGCCATGAGGCTAGCAACCCCATCCTGTAAAAAATAAACACTGCTACAGAAACTTCAAGCCACTAACTTGAAGCCCTATATTCCACTGGGAACGTGAAGGAAAAATTATTATTATATTATATCTGAAAGCGCCTTAGACTTGTTACCTGCGTACGTGCTGCAGGCGCATAGTTATGCGACGCAGTGAAGTATTTCCACACCACATACAATCATACAGAAAAAGCAAATATCGAAGGCCTATTTTAAAAGATGCAAGTCAAAAAAATTGTGTTATGTGTTAGTCCACTTTATCCTCCTTTATCGCTGTGAGACCTGGTCATTGAGAGTGGAAGATATGAAAAGACCGGCTTGCTGTCTTTGATCATAGATGTCTGCGTTCTATCTCCCGTTGTGAAGTGAAATAATAGGGTAAGCAATACTGAGGTTAGGCGTCGAGTGCTAGGTGAGTTGGAGGGGAAATTAATCAACCAGGCTGTGAAGCTACATCGACTTAGATGCTTAGACCATGTGTTACATATGCCCATCCATCGCACTTCCTCGTCGGGAAATGTTAGCTGACATAGGGTCGGGTTGAAAAAGAGTTGATAGTGGTGGTCAGTCAAACCAAAACATGACCTCATCAGTCAATGAAATTCACAACAGTTAGTTTAAGCTACCCGCCGCATAGGAAGGTGTAGACTTCGCGAAATGGTTGGGTCTTTGGGACGGTAAAAACCAATGACAACTGGTGATATGGCTCGAAGTCTTTGTTCTTAATATATGGTGCAGATGCATCCACTCCTCGTAATTTATAATATCCAATAAAACTATATGGTTCCTCAACATAACTATTCTTTTTGCCTCAAATCTCTGTTTATTATTTCTTGTTTTCAATCTATTTTTGCTTTCTTCTCTTGCTTTGTGTGCTACATTGGGGGGGGGCGGGGTGACTGTGGCAACTCGAACTGCTGCACATCGATGCAAAGTTCTCTATGCTGAAACCAGTCAGTCAGTTTCAACTGTTTCAGGTTTCCCACCCAGGTGGGTTTTTTTCCCAATTCCATATTTTAATATGAACTACTATTTCAGATACCCAAATCTCCACATATTTCTTTCCAAATAATCATGAGTTCTTCGCCAATCTTATTTTCTGAAGATAACGCCCTGGAGCTCTCTATTGAAGAGCAATTTGACCAAACTCTGTATTTAACCGATTAGGTAAAAGCTGTGGTAATCAGTTAAAAAAAAACAGCTCGGTCAATTTTAGAACACACCCTTCAGCATAGCTGTTATCATCTTGTCTATCGTACACAACCACAAAGAAGTATTCACAAGAATCGAATAAACAATCAAAGGGTTCATTGTGAAAAGAACGTTTCCCGTCGGTAGACCAATTTCCCTTTTAGCCACACGGTACGCTCGTTAACTCAGACAAAAGTACACTGAAGTATTCTGATTCAGTTAAATATAACTGTAATTACCAGTTCACTTGCAATTACGATAGCAAGTGCATAAGTAAGGATTGAGTGGACAGCATCTACTAGATGATTTACTGAGTATATATCGCATAAAGTCTTCATAAGAAAGACAGTAAAGTAAATTGTTTCAAAGTGGAATTTCCAAGCACCTATTTGACACCGGACATACATTGGAAATTATTGAAGATTTTGATCTTTGATCATAGGTGCCTGCGCCCTATCTCCCATGTGAAGTGGTATAATAAGGTGAGCAATATTGAGGTTAGGCATCCGTCAAGTGTGTTAGGTAGGTGGGAGGGGGAATCAATAGACGAGGCTGTGAAATTTCATCGACTGAGGTGATTAGGACATGTGTTACGTGCAGATGCCTAGCCATCGCCTTCCTCGACGAAGGGGCGATGTTAGCTGATAGAGGGTCAGGCTGGAAAAGAGCTGCGAGTGGCGGTCAAACCAAAACATCTCACCAGTCAATGAAATCAACAACAGTTAGTTTAAGCCACGTAAGAGGTGTAGACTGACCTTCAGGTTGGGGTCCTCGGGACAGTAAAAACTAATGAAGGCTGGAAACAATTGTTGATATGGCTCAGACTCATCGTTCTCAATGTCTGGCGGAGTTAGATGCATCCACTCCTTGTGACTTATGATTTCCAATGAAACTCTCTTATTCTTCGCTATTACTACTCCTTTGTCTCACACCTCTGTTTACTATCTTTATTATGCATTTCTTCTCTTAGCTTGTGTGCTACAAGGAGGGAGTGTGGCGACTTGAACTGCCACACATTTGTGCAAAGTTCTATGTCGAAAACAGACAGACAGACAGAGCGAAGCTTTTAAAATAATCGCTATAGAGAAAAAAACCCTTAGTTATTTCTGTGACAAGACTTATACCCAACCACAGTACACACAAAGATAGAGTGATAAATCTTCCACTACTTTAGTAACTGTAAATGTTTTGTTCTGTTGTGTAACAATTTCACTTAGTGAGTTTCAAAATTTACTGAATTTCCAAGTATTAGTTTTGTAGGGATTTTGTTTGATTGCATGGAGGATTTAATCATGAGCTGACATCAGTTAGAGAACCACTGGAACAACACTTGGGAGTACTGGACTGAATTGTACTGCCTATATGAATTGTTTGCCTATATGATAAATTCACTTTCACTTTATACTCCCATTGTCTTGACCCTTCATCATTAAACATTTATGCGAATAAATTTACTCTGTTGTTCGATCTTGTGTTCTCCACCTTAATCAATTTGTGTGTGTGAAAGCGAAATTTGAACTCTGTCACTTCCTAAACTTGTCTAATTATTTTATATATTTACATTACTCAGCCTTTTAACACTGAATAATATGTGTCTACTTACTTTTACGAGTTCGACGAGGGATTGATATCACAATTAGAGAACCACTGAAAACCAGTACTGGAGTACTGGACAGCCAGCTGTTTCACAAGCCTAGTATGAGACTCATCGACAGTACGCAGCCACCACAGTGGATTCGAACCCAAGACCTACTGGTTACAAGCTAGCAAGCTGGTACAGCCATTCAGCCACTAGGACTCACCTGAAACAATGGACTATGAATTCTAGCTTCTCCTCAATTCGTGATTCAGCGCACCCAACAACTAATGTCGCCGGGGGGCGGGGGCGGGGCGGGGAACTCCATCTACCAACATCATTTTGGAATTATATTGCTTATACGTTTATAGTCCACAATTCAACATCATTCAGAGAAAATTGTGTTTAGAAATCTTAAAACTTAGAATTTGATATTCTCCAGGATGTATGCAGTCGAAGAGTTCCAAGAAAGTAGACGAGTTCGTGTGTACCCTGTTAAATTACTTTCGTTCTTTATTTTTTATTGTTGTTCAAAATGAGAATACGCTTAGAAAAGATGGTTAATGTACTTGAGAAATTTGTGAAAATTGCCAACAATTGTGAAGATACGACTTCAAACATTCATTGCATTCAAGCAAGAAGACTGACTATCTAAGGCAGATATATCATATAAAGATTAAAATTCCAGTTGAATAAAACAAGCTACACAACAACGACAACCAGCATCAACAGTAGAGATTTAACGGAGGTTACCTGCTTCACCTTTCTGGGAAGAATTATTTCAACCATAGGCTAGCGGGAACAATTGGAGATGTTAAAGCCAGACGGAACCGGTTAGGCGACATACACCTTCATCAACCTGAAAAGAGTTTGGAAATCTTCTTTACTGCACTCAGCCAGCATAGACAACAAGATTCAGATTCTGTTCAACACCAATGTCCAGACGGGTCCTTCAGAATCTTGCCATGTCACGGAGAGGATTTCCAACAGGTTGCAGACTTTTCACCGACTCCATACTGAAGATCAAATGGCCTGCCAGAAAGAATTAGTAACAAGAAACTCTGGCTGGGAACAAACCAACAGGCAATAGCCGATCGCTCAACATATATGTTGAAGGAAATCGAGATGGGTCAGACATATACTGAGGAGACCACCAAATAACATGGAACGCTAGGTCATTGCTCAAGTGGAATCCAAATGAGAAGCGACGAGTGGGTCGTCAGCGCGAGAGTGACATGGAGGAGATCGTGTCAGGAAGAGATGAGGGAGTTTGGGCAACCGTGGATGCAGATTGAAGAGGAAGGCAGAGAATAGAACAATGTGAAGATGTGTTGTTGAAGCCGTATGTTCCACTCGGAACACAAGGGAATAATAATCATAATATACACAACAACAGAAAATTTTTGTGACGACGTACAACAACTGTGTGTTATTTGAATGAGAGAAAAGGAGAATGATGCTCAGGAAGGCTTCGTGTGCTTTTGAAAGTGTGTGGACGGTTGTTACTTCCCGACTGCCCACATCGTGGAAGTTGATTGATTCTTCGAGTACCTGAAACAAAAAGAGTGTTGCGTGACTGCCGAGCCCAGGGGACAACAGCTCGATGCCAGGCGGTCACACACAACCTGTATGAACTGGTTTCCTGAATTGGTTCCGTATTAGTAAACTTGCCACCGGTTACGGACCACCGTAGGTGGGGTACGCCGGGATGTAGAATTTTTGGGGTTGACCTCTTCTAACTCCCTTTCTCTCTCCAGAGTGGAGAGACAACAGAGTTGGCTGGCATGCTGATCATCTGAGGGAAACAGCTCACCGCTGTTACATTCCTGTTCCCCAGCAGTACGACTTCGCTCACAGACCTCCAGTATAGTGTAAGAAAGATTCTTGTACAATGCCAGTAACTGCTTTTAGTCTAATCGCTATCCTAACAACCTTCGTGGCATGGTAGGAGCTGCAGGAACATTGGTTCCAGCCAGTGCAGCTTGTTGGGTCATTGCGATGTGCAAGCCCGACCACCACGTTAAGGTAACAGCTATCGGTCGGGATTAGAATCTCAACACATAACTTTACAAAGAAGTGCAACAGTTCCAGTTGTCACATTCCATGTAGAACGCTAAGGTAAAGAAAACAAGAATTCAGAAGAACTTTAATGCGCAAAAGCAAGAAAAGTACCAAGAAAAGAAACAAAGTTGAATAAACCTGGGAGACAGTGAAGAAAGCATGTATCTTCCCTAGTGACAACGACTTTAAGTCATGTCATTGGATCTTAGAGCCTGGAGGTCTCAAACCCACAGTCTCTACACCTCCCCCCAATACAGCTTAAACCATGAAATAATGTTAGAATTTGATATGACCACCACCCACTCTCTTATGTCAGCTAACACTGTTCTTCGAGGAAGTCCATGACTCGGCAAGTGGTACACGTCTCCTGGCCATCCCAATCAATTCATCACCGAGAGAACCTCTTCGATTGTTTTACTACTCTCCTTACCTAACACTCAACACTTGAGCTTAATAATGACTCATTCCGTTATACTGTTCAAGCTGGGAGCTTAAAAGCACCCATGATCAAATTTAGCTAGCCTTTTTATATCTTTCATTATCGACAGCCATGCACAACAATCGTAGATAAGAACAGAGAGAACTGCTGCGCAGTACACACACACACACACACTCTAATCGAAGAATGGACATCACACATCCACGTCAGAGAGATAACTTAAGTTGGTAAATACCATATTAGCTTTATGAATCCAAACTGAAATTTTTTTTTATTTTTTTTATTTTATGGTTACAGCTTGATTCCACACCGTATTTTTGGTACAAGTGTGGAATTTTCAGCGTGGATATCGGTAGCCCAAAATTCGCAGGCAAACCATAGATATCAGGTGTGCGTCGGCGAGAGTTCTAACCACTGTGCCACCGACGTCAGCGATGATGATAACAGAGAGCTTGTTTTTGTCAAAAGTAGATTGACGTCAGATTGCTTTAGAAACTTAAACGAAATTCAAAAAATTACCAGCAATCTTTTTAACCAAAAAAGGCTATTTTTAAATTATACGGTTTCGTTACACTTTTCAGTTGAGTGAATAAAGTATACTCACACCTAAACGGGGGAATATATTTATTTTAGACCGATTATCTTTAGGAAGACTAACAAGCCTAACTTCACCTCCACACGTAGAATCGATATGAAAATTATAGGTTCAAGAATTTGAAAAAAAAATAAACAGTTATCGATCGAATGAGTATATTTCTTTTTAAAAAGAATGATAAGTTTATGTTGGAGAGTAGTCAGAAATCAGTCAAGTCAACATAGATAGGGTCTATGTATTTAGTTTATGCTGCGTACAACTTAGTTAACTGTATGTAGTATTAATATAATTCATTCTGCGCTCTGAGTGGAAGCAACAGGGCTTAACAGGGGGGATTCATTCCACGCGCTCATATGACACCACTTTCGACTAACAACTCCAACAATGTGTCTATACGCCTTTAGTTTCCACTTCATATGATCACTTAAATATCTGTCTGTTTTCGACATAGAACTTTAGACATGTGTGCACCAGTTCAAGTCGCCACACACCCTCCTTTTAGCACACAAAGCTAGAGAAGAAAGTAGAAAAAATGCATAATAGAGACAGTAAACAGAGATGTGAGACAAAGGAATAGTAATAACGAAGAACAAAACAGTTTCATTGGAAATCATAAGACACAAGGAGTGAATGCATGTGCACCAGCCATTGAGAACGATCACTTTGAGCCATATCACCAATTGTTTCCAATCATTGGTTTTTACCGTCCCGAGGACCTCAACCAGGAAGTGACTTAAACTAACTGTTGTGGATTTCATTGGCTTATGACCAAGTCATGTTTTGGTTTGACCACTACTAGCTCTTTTCCAGCCTGACCCTATGTCAGCTAACATTGCCCACTGTCGAGGAAGGCGATGACTAGGCATATGTACGTAACACATGTCCTAACCATCTCAGTTGATGTAACTTCACAGCCTCGTCGATTGACTTCCCCTCCCTTCTTACCTAGCACACGACACCTAAACTCACTATTGCTCACTTTATTATACCAGTTAACACAAACAGGAGATAGAGCGCAGGCACCTATGATCAAAGACAGCTAATCTTTTCATGTCTTCCACTCTCAATGGCCAGGTCACACTCACAGTTATAAAGGAGTACGGAGCGGACTTCTGAGCAGTACACTCGCCCTTTGGTCGACAGTCGAACATCTCGTCTACGCCAGAGACGGCGTAAACTGGCAAATGCGAAACGAGCCCCCTGTATCCGTACTGAGATTTCGTCAGAGATGAACCCGTTGGCACTCGCTGATGGTACTTCCCACATAAGTCAAGCGGTCAACGTACTCGACCACTTCACTTCCTATTTCTAATCTACGAGTCGGTGTAGTCTCGTCCTGTAACATCACCTTGCATTTAAGGGGCAAATCGCATGCCAAAAATTCGTAGATTGCAGCTGAATGTGTTTAGAAGACTCTGCATTTCGTCAGCGTCTTGGACTAGAAGGATTATATCGTCTGTATATTCTAAGTCAACGAGATTATTCCCTGGTGGGAACAAGTCAATCCCAGAGTCGCTGAAGTGAGTTAGGGTAAAGTCCATTAGTACATCCGTGATGAAGTTGAATTGAAATGGGGATAGTGGGCATCGCTGATAGACACCACTAGTTGTCACCACTTCGGATGACAGCTCACCGTAAGCTCTCACTTGGCTGACTGTATGAGTTCGAGTAGAGTGAGTTCCTTGATCAGTGCAAAGTATTTTCACTTTACAGCCAAGCATCTCCAGAGAACCTCCCGGTCGACAGAATCGAATTCCGCCTTTAGGTCAAGAAATATAACGATTGTTGGACGCTGGTAAGAATGCCTATGTTCCAGAATCTGTCTGAGGGTGAAGATATGATCAATACACCCTCTTCCTGGTCTAAAGCCTGCCTGGCTCTCTCGTGTTTGTTCCTACCGAGTACCACTTAGTCTACGCATGATTATTAAGCCTAGGACTTTAGATACTCTATTAGTCAAGCTAATCCCTCTGTGATTATCACAGGAAGACTTGTCTCCCTTCTTGTATATGGGGATAATTAGTGACTTACACCAACCCGATAGGACTTACTCTGATTCCCAGACGCTGCTTAGAACCTCAGTTAACGCAGACAGTGCACTGTCCCCACCGTACTTGAATACCTCTGGAGTCATTCCATCAGGTCCCGATGCTTTACCTTGTTTCAGATTGGTGACAGCTTTAGTAACCTCAGTTAGGGATGGAGGACCTGTGTCTATATCCCATTCAGGGAGGTGTTGGATGGTCGGCAGGTTGAACGTAGCTGTGGGCCAATTAAACTGCTCCTCATAGTGTTCTTTCCGGCGTTCCAGTCGTCTATCTAGGGAGCTAATTATGGTGCCATTTTTCTCCGAGATTGTTTCACTTATCATTTGCCTTTTACCACCTGTTTCCCTGATAAGTCTAAATAGTTGTCTGGTGTTACCAATCGCCGATGCTTTTTCCATCTCCTCCGCCTTTGTCACCCGCCACTGTTCACGGTCCTTGCGGAGACTTTTCGTAAGTTTCCTCTTGTGCAGCTTTCGCTCCTCATTGAATTCGGAGTTCGCCGGGATAAGTCTTCTAGCATCTATCAGTTCGGATGAGGCGGTGGAGATCCAATGGTTTTTGCTCACCTCCCGGTTTACCTTATTCACAGCTTTTACAGCTGTATCTATAGCTGACTGAACATTTTTCCAGGCTTCTTCAGGGTGAGCACAGCTGTCGGACTCAGATATGCGTTTAGCTAGTTCTTCCTCAAATACGGATTTAGTTTCCTGATCGAGCTGGGGACATGATGGGTATACCGCCAGCTGTTTCCTACGTCCGTTCAGTCGTAAGCACACACGAGCCCGGATCAGTGCGTGATCGGTATCTACACACGTGTTCCAGAAGGAGCGACAATCTCCTACCGACCCACGCCAACGATAGCTTATTGCTATGTGGTCTATTTGTGTCC